TTTATCGAATGGTCAATAAAAACATGAAAACAAATAAAAGTTATTGGAAACCTAGAATTGAAGAGTAACTATGTAATCTACTTTGGTATGGAGGGAATATATGATATAAAGGGGAAGATCAATAAGATTTCAATATTTGGAAACATAATTAAAATGGTGTTTGGGATAGATTAACTTATAGATAAAGTGATTTCCACAAAAGATGAAAGGAAAAACACCTTATACCTGCTTCTCCGAAACGACGTTCTATGTACAAAATAGTAGTAATGAAAAGCAGAAGCTGACATGCCAAACTGAGTAAAACCACTTCCACTCAAGGCAGAAGCTAATATATTAAAAGCAGCGTACTACCAAACACCTTCTAAAGTTGATTTAGTACTAACTAACTTTAGAGCAAAGTGTGTTTAAGGCGAGGTTTAAAAAAAAGATACATTGTTAAATCAAAAACAAAAAAAGACAGCCACATTGGTTATAGTGGTGTCAAGGTTACATGATACAAGTCAATAAAAATTGTTAGAACCCCGTCACACTTGACTGTTTATATGTCACAAACATAACGACATGTATATGTCTATGACACGTTTAGTATCAAACTCGTGATGTAAAAATTGAGAAATTTTTTAGCATGAAAGATGTGGTTGCAGTGATTCTTCCTTGACTACAAATAGTTCAATTTCACATACGTAATTTATCTATGCGTGTTAGATCATAGATACACAAATACACTTTATATATGACATCACTTTTAATATCATGAACACCACACACACATGCAAATAGTTTATACTAGCTACATGTAACATGTGTGCAAGATACAATGATGTTAAATGTAATGTCATATTTGGTATAGAGTATATACTACTCCCTTTGTAAAAAGACTTCCTATTTTGATTTAGAGCAAAAATAAGGAAGTGTTAAATTGTACTCCCTCCGTCCTATAATGTTCTTCCCGGTTCATTTTACGAGATTTGACTGACTTTATTTTCAATTCAATTTATTTGATTGTAGGTGTAAAATTAAAAAATAAAATTTATATATTAAAAAACTACATCAAAAGTTTTACAAAACAAGTGGTGACAAGACTATATTATTTTATCAAATACCTAATGAAAATAGGTAAAGAAAATTATTAAAGTTTGACCGGGTAAAAAGTGAGTGGGAAAAACATTTTAGGACGCATGGAGTAGTTGATTTTCAATTTTGCCCCTGATGTGATGGGTAAAAGTAAGATGTGATGGATAGATTATTAGAGAAAAATATGATGTGATAGGTAGGGTATGAAAAAGTAAGGGTAAAAGTGATTTTTTAATAGAAAGTGGAAATGTTTTGTTGGAAGTGGAAAAAATGAAAGAGTAAGTGTTTTTAAGAACAGAGGGAGAGTCTTAATTGAGCTGTGTACATTGTTACATCCATAATGGCAGTTTCACATCATCACATGCCATTGTGGTGCTAGGGTTTAGGGCATTCAAATGCTATACTATTATGACACGCAGAAAGTGATAAAGTGGTCTATCCAAAGGACATAGTACGTTGTTTTTTGTTTTGTCTTGACAAGAGCGTTGTTACTATGGATGATTTGAAGTGGAATTTGCAAAAAAAAAAAAAAAACCCATTAAAATACTCCAATATACCTTGGCTGCTGATATTCCCAAATCTCATTTGAGCCCAAGCTGTCCTCCCCGGTTCGCCGAAACTTCTCTCATTCTTCTAAATTAAGTCTCTACATTTTTTTTGAAGGAAAAAAGTCTCTACTTGAACTCACACAATTTAAGAAAATACTTAGAAAATAAAGTGTATAGTAAGAATGATGGAAATATGCCCTAGCGAGATTATAGAATCGGCCCAATGTGTTTCTTTTATTAATTCATTCAATATTAGAGGGTGTTTGGGAGTGATTAACTTATGGATAAAGTGATTTCTACAAAAACTGAAAGCAAAAGCACCACATACCTACTTCTCCGAAACGGTGTTCCATGTACAAAATAATGTTGGTAAAAAGCAGAAGCTGACATGCCAAACAGAGTAAAATCACTTCCACTCAAAGCAGAAGCTAAATTATTAAAAGCATCGCACGGCCAAACATCCTCTAGTGTATTATGAATTTATGAGGAGAGAAGAAGAGTGTAGTTTGAGGTTAGGGCTTGGACTCTGGATAAGCTGGCGAGAGAGTCAATTCCACTAATTGTGGATGGTTTATGAGCCAGTCTTTGCTCGTCATAGGCTCCAATCAGATCAATCGTGGCGCAAAACTAGGACAACGATAGGATCAATTACCATGAATAGCTTAGTGTGTACACCATAAATAGATTGGAGGGTAGACCTCATCTGTAAACCTAAGCTGAATTAAGCTAAAAGAAGTAATATTATGATCATATACTAAGAGTTATCTATTTTCCTATTATTGTTCTTTGTATCTTCATAGTTGGTGGGCTAAAATTTATAATTGGGGCTTTCATTGAGAGCTTATTGTGCAAAAAATATTGGTGAGAACATGGTTGGACGAAGGACCTGAAACGCTTGACGTGTGGCTGCCAACTCTAAGCATTCATCTACATGGGCTAGGGCCCGTGAACATGATGTTGTCGTTGTTCCACCCGCCAGGTTAAAGACGACCATGAAAAACATAGCCAATATGATGGCTAACGTAATGGATGGTTGGGCATGCCCTACCTACACAATCTGCAGTTCTTGTCGGCCCTGTCCATGAGCCATAATAGGTGCTGCGCATGGCATGACAACGGTCTGATGAGCCCTTATTCGAAAGCCTCCATGATGAGGAGGATATCAACAGGAAAGGCAATGTAATAACTTGGCGTTTGGAGGCCCAGATGATCTGGAACGGGAACCAGAAGCAGACTACGGCTCATCGAAAGTCCCAAAATGTTCCCCGTATAACGACCGAGGCACACGAAGAGCCCAATGGTGCCGGTCAGCCATGTAATATGGAGACGAAGAATCCAAGGGCCACGGTGTTTGAGAGGTTGTCACAGGGACACGTCCTTGTGAGATAAAAGTTGGGGCCATACTCTAGAGGAGTGCCTAATGAGCGGGTTTGACAGCAGGCTAGTTGGGTTGAGTCCTCATACAAGGTGGCCTGTAAGTAAGGTCACTCCAGGGCTGCACTTGGGGACCCTAGAGTCGTTGTCATTGATGATTAAACAAAAGTGCAAAGCCAGCCCAGGGTTCGAGTTCAACAACACTTGGGCCTAAGAGGGCCATAAATGGCGTGCATCCAAGGTATGCGCATGCAAATCCAGGACATGGAGAAGAAGGTGAATACAGGATGTGGATTCACAACTCGTGATAATACCCCTTTCACGGAGGTCCTGGTAGTACCATATCCGATGGGGTTTAAGGTACCATTGGTGAAGAAGTATGATGGGGAGTTTGACCCCCAAAAGCACATCAACAACTTCGTGCAGGTCATGATTTTTCTAGGGGAGCCAAATACCCTAATGTGCCATTGTTTTCTTTGGACGATAGATATAAAGGTGGTGGACTAGGTCAACCACATTCCAACGGGTTCCATTAGGAGGTGGGATAATCTGGGGTTATGCTTCTTGGAGCATTTTGCAAGGAACTTCAAGCCCAAGAAACATTATACCCATCTTGCATCCATCCGAAAAAAGGGCAACTACTTGTTGAAGAACTTCCTGGCCTGATGGAGGAAAGTGTCCCAGGAGATTGAAGGGGGTGATGAGAACTTCAAACTTGCCATGTTCACGACGGTGCTACAGGAGGTTCTCCTCCATACTGATCTCACCACTCACCCCCTAGATTCATTCGAGGAAGCCATGGTTCGGGTGTGGTAGTATCTAACCCTAGCGGCCCGTTATTCTTTAGCCCAGTTGTCCGTATGGAGTATGTACCCAACGACCTGTTTAACACGATTGCTCGTCTGGAAGTCAAGTCCCTACTTAGCGGCTCGTGGTCCTTTAGGTGTTGGCGCTCAAAAAAAAAATCAAGGGAATGAGAGTTTATTTGCAAGTGGTAAACCGGTTAGATTCAAAATAGCCCGATTGTCCACTTGAGGGGGAGTGTTAGAGTGTCATCCTACATTGGAAGTTCAAGAGCAAAATAATCGGTATATAAGCTCCTGAGTTGAACTAACTAATCGATTGGATTCAATCTTTTAATGTGGTTCAACTTAAGTGTCTTACTACCCAATCTAGTTATCCATACACATCCTAAATTCTATACGTTCAACATCGGCGAGTATACGTAAAAAGAGAGGACGACTCATCCAAAAATGATTACTAAAATCCTCTGGTGTATAAACACACGGAGTATTAAAGTAGTCATTGAGAAGTGAAGCGTGAGCAGCCGCTCGGTTTAAACATTGTCGTCGGATCCGGGTCCGACGTCAGGAGGATTCAGCTTCTTCTTTTTCGCCTTGTTGCCACCATTGATAACAACTCATGACGAAACAACGAAAAATGAGAGTTCTTTTTTCATCATCGGATGAAGATGATCCCATTTTTAAAATATGTTTTATAAATATTTATAATATATTATCAAATATTTAAAAGATTGATAGAATTGTAGAGAGAAGATAGTGAGAGATATGTTTGTTTTGAGGAAATTTATAGGTTTTTTTTAGTTTAGATTTTTTTGGTTTAATGGCTAAAGTAGCCGTTTTTGGCCGTGGGGGAGGGGAGCATCGCGTTAAAGGTTTGACGCTGAGGGAGTGATGCCCGTTTGAAGCCCTAGGGGGGCGATGTTTAACGTTACCGAGCATCAAAATCATGGTTGAAGCTCCCCGGCGTCACACCCATTTCTTCTGCTCTAATAGTAAGGCTGAAATTCATGTTGAGACGAATAGAGTAAAAATGAATTTCTTTTTGAGTAGAAAAATAAAGATTACCGTACTCTTTATGCATGTAGAAATTCAGAGAAAAAAAGTTGGAATAATGTTGAGAAAAGAGTAGTGGCTGAGGTGTCGGGATGTTTGAGAGAAATACAACAACTTTATAGAAAGAAACAAGAGAGAGAAAGTTTTTCTACCCTCTTCTTCCCTAAGATGGTCGAAGAAGAAAGGATTCTCTAAGGGCAGTCAGAGAACAAAACCATTTGAAAAGAAGAAAGAAAAACAAAGTTTCCAACAACAGAGAACACACGCCCATATTTGTTAGATTCATTAATAATATCTTTCGTTCCTTCCCAATTGTTTAATTGAATTTGTCTTTAGCTGCTTTTTGGAGTCTCATCAGAATCCNCTTTTCTTGAAAATTTGAATTTCAAGAATTATTAAGGTTCTCGACTTAGGCAACAAGAAGCAGCGAAAGAAAAAGAATTTGTCTTATCCTCGTCGTCATTAATTCCTTGACTGCCCTCCCCTTGGGTTAGTTATGTAATCCCATTTCCAATTTCCCATTTTTTCCCCCATAAACAGATTGCCTGAGCCAATTATTATTATTAAGATATTCAATGTAGTTTTTCATCAGCTTGTGAACCCTTGTTCTTATTTCTCTTGTTAGTTTTTCCGTTCATTTGAATCCAAGAACCAATATTTGGTAAGTTTCTATCATTTTTGAACAGTTTTGCAGGAAAAGGTTGAACCTTGGAGAAATCCTATTGATTCGTCCACCAGCTTTGTTGCATTTCTGTAACAATGAGAGGCCCCAATTCCATGGACGGCTTGGAAGGCGCTGATGTGTTATTGTTTATTTGCAATCTTATGTGTGTGTATGTGTTTTAGGAAACAAAAAAAATTGTATCTGGTAATACTTCCTAGTACTTGACGTGGTTGTCATCGTTATTGTTCTCATTGTGTCCGAGTAACGGTTGTTGCTCGGAGGGTCATTTTGTGCATAAAGAGCTTCTTTTTAAAAACTGGCAATTGTGTATAGAGTGATAGCTGTCGGCAGAGATTATCACTGCCTCAATCACAGCTATATACATTGGTCTATAAAGCAATGGGGGATGGATTGACTGTACATGGAATTCAGATTTTGTATCTCATCATTTTGGCTCTTGTTTTCGACTCTCATGGGCATTGCTCTCTTAACTCCGAAGGTAAACTATTGTTGGGTTTTATGAGATGTTAATGTATTCTTGAGCTGAGTGTTTTTTTTTGAAAGAGAAAACCTCTCTGCCGGTTTAGGTAGGGGTAAGGTCAACATTCGACCCACCTTTTGGGTATTTACAGAGTTGTTTTAACCATTTGGGTGATGCCCTTAGGACTTGCATTGTTGAAATTTCAAGAAAGAGTGGATTATGATCCCTATGGGGTTTTCTTGAACTGGAATACTGAGGACTGTGATCCTTGCATGTGGCTTGGAGTTCGTTGTTTTGATGGTAGTGTGCAAATGTTGTAAGTCTTGTGCTTTTGAAAAAATTGCGAGTTTTTTTGGGGTTGAGTTAGATCAGTAGTTCTCTATGTCGATTGGGTTCCTGTTTGTTTAAGGGATTTCAATGGATATGCTTTGGAAGGAACACTCGCACCCGAACTAGGAAATCTTTCCCACTTGAAGGCACTGTAAGGAGTAGCTTTCTCACATTGCTATTCTTGTTTTTGTGATTCTCATGAAAATAGTGTTTGCTCTTTAATTTCGATAGAGTACTTAAGTTTTTGTTTGGGACTTCCATCAACAGTGTGCTCTCCAAGAACCGTTTCTCTGGGGTCATTCCTCCAGAAATTGGACAACTCAAAATGCTTGAGGTGCTTGATGTGAGGTATAACAGTTTGAATGGAACGATTCCGGCAGAAATTGGAGGATTGCATTCACTAAGAAGCTTGTGAGACATTCAGTTGTTACTATGGAATTCTCATGCAGCAGAGGAAAAACTCATTTGAGCTTCTGAACATCATTTTCACTTTTCCTCAGGTTGCTATGTAACAATACCTTCCATGGAAGCATTCCTTTGGAGATTGGGAAGCTTAGGTTCCTGACCGAATTGCAGTTCGACACAAACCTCACCGGACCTGTCTGTATTAACAGAAAACTTGGGCATGGGTAATTTAAGGCCTCTGTCATCTAACCTTTGGCAACCAGCTGTTTTGCAAGTTTTTGACAAGTTTCTTTTGATGAAGTTTGTGACTTTTTTAAGGAAAAAATGTTTTAAAGCTTTCACTTTTTCTTATTTCTTGTTAGTTTAGATCAAATAATCGAAATAATACTATCGCTACAAGCTTTTGGTTAAGACAAATCACATCTTTCAGGAAGGGCTTTTTGCACAGAAGTTCTGACTACTGCTTCGATGTCCATTCAAGTGAGATGAAGCATCACTATAATTGAGTTAACTCTTGCTTTAGTGCCTAAGTTGTTAAAACATTCTTCTGTAACAAGGATGGTGCATGGACTCTTAGCAGGTTCACCCTGTCTTCATGACATGACGCGCCGAATGTTGGGTGAACAGTCAAGTAACTTAGCCGCAGCTCCCATTGATGGTGGGGCACAGTTGGGCAGTATTACTCCCCAACCAATCACCAGAAGTAGTGGGTCATTTCCTGCTTCGCCTGAGAAGAAGGTGAAATCTCCACCCCAAGCACCACCGCCTTCTCCCCATCCAAAACAGCAGGACCAATCGAATCATGGTGTTCTTCCTCAACTAACCGGCGACCAAGACTCTGGAGGATCTGAAAAAACATGGGAGTATATAGTTGGAGCCATTTCATGTGTCGCTTTCTTGCTCATTTTGGCTGTGGTTGTCGTTTTTATCTGCAGAGCTAGAGCAGCAAATACCATTGGCCCATGGAAAACTGGATTGAGTGGTCAGTTGCAGAAGGCGTTCATCACAGGTAACTTTGAGTACTAATCATGAGAATCTGTAATCAAGGTTTGATTTTTTTTAAATATATAAATAGCGTACGAGTCTCGATCTTGAAAACTAAAACATGTAATTTCCCAATGTGAGATAACATTTACAGTGTCTTTGACAAATGTTTTAGGAGTCCCAAAGCTGAACAGGTCTGAGTTAGAAGCTGCATGTGAAGATTTTAGCAACATTATATGCACAGCTGATGCTCACACTAGCTACAAGGGAACTTTGTCAAGTAAAGGAGAGATTGCAGTTTTTTCTACTGCCATTACGTCTCTAAAAGATTGGTCCGATCGAGCAGAAATTTCCTTCAGGAAGAAGGTAAGCTTGGATTAGAGTACTTATTAGTCGATTGGATTAAAAAAAGTTATTGTGAATTATACATCAGAAATTGAGAATATGGTGTTTGCGATATCTTTTCAGATTGACATTCTTTCAAGGATTAACCACAAGAATTTCATTAACCTTATTGGGTACTGTGAGGAGGATGAGCCTTTCACTAGGATGATGGTATTTGAGTATGCCCCAAACGGAACTCTTTCTGAGCATCTGCACGGTAAACCCATACATTTATTATATACAGAAAATGTCAAACTTTACAACGTTTAACCCTGCACATGTTGTTGACTTCAGATCAAGAATTTGAACATCTTGACTGGAATGTGAGGATGAGAATTGTCATGGGAATAGCATATTGTCTGCAACACATGCACAATCTGAATCCTCCGCTGTCTCATCCCAACATCACTTCAGATACCATATTCTTGACAGATGATTATGCTTCTAAGGTCCGCATTGTCTCTACGGTTATGCAATAGTAAACCAATACTGTTAAATGTATTAAAAAAAGAACATTTCTCATGTTTCACAGATAGGAGAGGTTGGGTTTTGGGCAGAATTCACTGACAATTCAAAGTTAAAGGATTCGGATGATCATTCCGAGCTGCCACCACTTGCAGAACCAGAGGCAAATATATACAGTTTTGGACTTGTGCTTTTGGAAATAATCTCAGGAAAGCTACCTCACTCAGAGGAGCAAGGCTCTCTTCTCAAATGGGTAAGCTTCAGCGTGTAAACGTGGAACATTTTCAAGAGTTTTGTTCAGCCGAAGTGTCTTATGATGGCCCAGTCTAGTGACCCTTACCCGTCATAAATTCTTTCATTTTCCTGATTAATATGTGACAAGATTGTGGCTTTATGCAGGCCACGCCTCACTTGAATGGCAAGAAGATGGAGGAACTGATTGACCCAACGCTGGAGTCCTACAAGGATAACGAGCTATCCGTCGTTTGTGAGGTAATCCAAGAATGCACTGAAAAAGAGGCGAGGAAAAGGCCGACAATGAACGAAGTCGTTTCAAAACTCAGGGAAGCCATTGATGTCTCGCCAGCTGCTGCGGGGCCCAGATTCTCTCCGCTTTGGTGGGCAGAACTGGACATCTTGTCTTCCGAGGCGCCATAATAATCTACTGATGTGTACAACTATGTGAGCTTAAGGAGGGATTGGCTCCACATAAAGCTTATGTATGTGAGTGTAAATATACATTTATGAATGTTGCAGGCCATGGCAGGACACAATTAATCTCACAATCAGCCAAGGTAAACAATGAGAGAGTTATGGAACCACACGATGGCAAAGTCATCATAGCCCTTTACACTTAAAAAGTTAAATCAAAACTCTACACTTGGGCATTCTATTAATAGGAGGTCTTGAGTTCGAGTCATATTAGATGAACACGGAGTATTCTCTTATTGATGGACATCTCGTGCCATGCCTCCTCAAGCTCTTTGATCGGATCAATTGCAAATGTTTCGCATCTAGTGACACTCAAATGCAGCCCGAAATGCTAAAGTCGCACACATCTTGGTCACAAAACTATACAAATTTGTGATTTGTGCACCTCACCCAGTGAAACATTTTAAATAATTAAAATTTGATACTTCCTCTGTCCAAATTTAAATTGCCTGTGTCGGCATACAATTTTTTACTGAATTTATTTTCAATAAAATTTGTTTGAGAATTGGAGTGGATTTAAAAAATAAAATTTACATATTGAAAAGCTACATCACAAGTTATACGATACTAGAGGTGACATGAGTATATTATTGAATACTAAATATGTAACTTAATTTGGGACTGAGGGCATATATAAAAACTATATTTTGAAATTAATCTAGTTTTACTAAATTTACACAACACCAGCAAAGGACAAGAAACTCGAATTAGTTTCCCAATTAAGCCATTGTACAACTTGGAGACAGTCCATGCAACTGCAACTTAACTTGTTGAACGCCATGATCCTTAAGTTAAGATAGTGCCTCACGACACGCCATAGCTTCCGCCACCAATAGTTCGTTGTGTTCAACGAAGAACACCATTGAAGTCCGCCCTCCCAAAATCAGCAAAACACAGCCCATCCCATCTTTAAGTACCCAAAGACAAGAATAGTGTTTCTCCCACCAAACCTGGGCTGCCAAAATGATCTCCCAACAGGAACTAGGTGTATTGCCCAATTATGCTTCAAGGAAGCTTGGCTCTGGGAAATACCGAGCTTTGAAGACCCGTGAGACCAAAGCATCGGATTTAGAAAGAAAATGGCATCCCAATTTTCCTAACATTGCAATATTGAAACCATGAGGGAGTTCAAAGCCAGTCATGCAAACTCCTTCGATACAGCCATACGTTTCTAGCAAAGCTTAAAATACGTCTAGAAGTGTTTTCTAGCAAAGCTTAAAATACGTGGTTTCTGTTTCTAAACTATGACTTATACTTTAACATAACTCACAATACTCTTAAACACCCTCTAAGAAGAGTCTACAACGAGTTCTCCGTCCCTCCTTTAGACAACAACCTCAATTCTAATGACCCTCCACTTGCTGACCGGCATGACTGAAAAACGTACGTAACACTAAAATAAGTCTTCAATGTAACATTTCACTTACAAGGATTATATTTTACTTTTACAGAAAAAGATAGACGCGCGGGCCCAGAGAGGATCACATAAGTTATGGGGAATTTAGCTACTCCGTAAATAATACAAAAGCGTGACTTTTAAATAATATAAAAGACTGAATTTCCCAATATAGTATCATATATTTTTATTTCCTAATGTAGTACTACATGTCATTGTCTTCCGGTCATTGTTCTCGCTACTAGACATTATTCAAGCATTATTTAAGGAATAAAAAATGCAAGTGCTATATTGAGAAATGACATGTGTTTTAATACTATTTAGTGTAAATTTTAATTTTTAATTTTTCTTTTTCCATCTCGATAAAACGACGTTGTTTCAATAAAAAAAAAAAGAAAAACAAATTACTCTACCCAGAGCGAAATCAAAAGGAAGAACGCAGAAGGCTGAACGAAAGGCGAAACTGACCAGTCCACCACCTCACCGCCGCCACCGCGTCGATCTCCATTCCCCAGCACAGGCGCACTGCCGCGTCCAGAGGTAAATTTCCTGATTTCCAGTTTAATACTACGTACTCCGGAGTATAAAAAAAACTTTTCATTGGGACGGAGGGAGTAGTAATTAACTTTAATTAATTTTGAATATCAGTAGTTAATTCATTATTCTTGAACTATGAATCCACGATGTCTTTGCGTTTTATTTGAGTATTTCAGTAATTAATTGATTGTTAATTTTATTTTCTAGAAATTAATTAAATTCATATTGAGCAATTATTGGCGTTAAATTGGCGCTACTAATGGAAGCCCAACCCTTGGTTGCTTTTCGATTTTGATTATATATTTCTATTTTTCCAATTGCTAACTTTATAAAGTTTGAAAAATGTTTAAAAGTGTATTTGGGTGGGATTAATTTGGAAGAGAGAAATTTAAGATTTTTGCATTTTTTTTCTAAAAAGAAAATCGAGAAGTGTAAAGTTATTATTTAGATATTCATAATAGAAAGTATAAAGTTGATTTGAAGACAAAGGGAGTACTCCGTATTTTTTTTGTTGTTTTGCCAATTGCTGTTTATGAAACTTCATAATTGATTTGTGACTTCCTAATAGTCGAATTGCTTGATTATATTTAGTATTTAAAAGTATCAAAAGCTTAATTTTGTGCTTATGTTGCAATTCCCTCAAATAAGAGAATTTTGTCGTGTATGATCCATAGACCATAATTATTTGATATATTACCCGGTGTTACATTGTAAATTTATTTGAACTCGATTGAAAATCAAAATTTGAATCGAGTTATAGTGATTCTGATTTGAATTAAATTCAGCCTCTGTTTCCAAGCCAACCATTATAACGAGTTCATTCCACATCTATTTTGAATGAAAATGAATATATAAATTAAGAGACGCGAATTTTGAATTATTTGAAGTTGATCTTGATTAAGAAACAAAATATTTGATTTTAACAAAATGTCCAAGAAATTTTAGATTTTTATCCAAGTATTTTGAAGATGATTGTGGACAAGATACATCATTGATTTCTTAGACTCCTAGGTTGTGGAATTTCACTTTTTTTCCTGGATCTGCCTCTCCCTGCAGCCACCAAAGCAACACTACACTGGAAATTAAACTTCCATGTTGAGTATTGCTGCCAACTTCCCCTTCACTAGGTACACCTACCCTGCTGTTTCCACCTTCACTCCTTGTGCTGCTGTTTTGATGGCTATTGCCAATGAAATGGACACCATCATGGCCTCTACCCGCCAATGGACTGATAACTGTATGGGCTGGGTCCCACCTTTCTCTCAAATCTACTTCGGGATGCTTTTCTATATCCAGACTCTCAAAGCTATGCTGATTGCAGGTCACCTGGCAACCCATCCCGAACTCCGAACTCTGTTGTCCGAGTTCGAAATGCTTTATCCTCCCTCCACCCTCTGGATCCCTGGCCCTCTTGTCAGTTTCTTCAAGAACCTGGCTTGCTTCACCCCGGACCCTGAAAGATTTGGAAATGTTACTCCTTCAATCTCCCAACGCCCTGGCTGGACCCGCGCTTCCCACTACACCTTTGGGCACATGACCACTCATTTGCCCAATTTGAGCTTCTACTTTTCTCGTCTGTACTCTGTTTGTGATGCTGCTACCCGCGACGGAACTACCGAAATCTCTTTTGCTAGAGATGTTGATGGTCCTCGCTTCTTGGCCACTATATTTGGTCGAGCATGTGACAATGAAGCTACTGCTGAGCACATCATGCTCCGCTCCCCCGGTGCCTCTCTTGTTTATGCTGGTAACCTTCGTCTCTGCCAAAAAGCTGCCCTTCAAATGAACAGTGAACTCCCTGGCAATCTTAACATTGACAATGGTAATGTAGAGAATTCTTGGGTCTCCGCTCTCCGCCTCGACCATTCATTTTACTAGTTCTCCACGGTTGCTGCTATGATGGCAAGATATTGCCAATTTTGGAAAGATTCTACTTCTCTTGAGGACTGCTCCCCCAATGGCTCTGCTGCTGGTGCCGTCCGTTGTTGCGTTATTGACAACCACACATCCATGTTCGACATCCCTGCCTGGACCGAACAAGCTGGCAAGCAGAACTCTTTTGTGCACGGCGACTGCAACCAGATGGGTCATTATGCTCTCCTCTCATCTCCAACCCTGATGTTGAATGCCTCCACTGCCCTTCAGGACATTCCAGAAACTGACATCCAGGCTGCCCTCACCTTTGCATACAATCTCTACTTGGATAAAACTCAGCGCCGTGATGGTGTAACTGGCCCCTTTTGGACCATTCGACCTCTGGCTTCTGGATGCAACCATTTTAGGACGATTCAAGGCATCACTGCTCTGCTCACTCGAGTATACCACTGTGACTCACGTCTCGACCTCGATCGTCATTAATCAACCCCGCCACCATTCCCCTGCTCAGTAAGGATGATGTGACCAGAGTAGATTGATAGCCCGTTCTTCTAGTATTTTGCAGGCTTTTCTTTTGTCATCTGCTCTGTCCATGCTGGTGTCTTTGAAAAATCAGCAATTTTTTGCTTGATTTGAATGCTGATTTTGTGTTCCTAAGGTGCTTAGAAATTTCCTTGCTTAAGTTGGCATAGGAACTGATTTTTGAAGGAATATATCTTGATACAAGCTGGATTTTGATCTTTTTATGTTGAAGCCTGTTCTAAAAGTGCAAGAATAATTAAAAATCTGATACTGAAATCTTGTGTCAAGCATGAAACTGCTTAGAACCTGACTTGTGTTTCTTAGTAGAGCATCAAATGTTTATCTTTGTGTAGAAACTGAAAGCCATTGCCCATTGCTTAAATTGAAGGAAATAGAACATGGAGTATGGTACCTCTCCCGCATAGTAAAAAGACTATTGGCTCCAAATGGATTTACAAGATTAAGCATTGCTAAGGCGGGAGCATTGAGCGATATGAAGCTGTCAGAAAGAGAGCATTAATTTTAAAGAAACGTTTGCTCTCACTGCCAATCTGGTCATCGTTTGCATTTTCTTAGCTGTGGCCACTGCTCGCAATCGGAGACCTCATCAAATGGATTCCATAATGACTTCTTATATGGGGATCTACGTGAGGAGGTTTATATGAAGCCTCCACCTGGCTTTGCTTCTGCACATCGTGACCTTGTTTGTCGCCTACACATAAGATATATGGTCTTCGTCACCCTCCTTGTTGTTGGTTCCACAAGTTGTGTTCATCTCGGAAAAGGTATGGATTTGCTCACTCCAAGGTAATCTCTCAATCCCTTCTTCCATGATACTATTCGAATTTGATTTCAATGCATATCTCAATATATGATTCCATATGAAAGACCTAGGTTTCCTATAGTGTTCTTTTGGTCAATGAGTCTCTTTTGTGACAATCAAGCGACTCTCCACATTTCAGCTAATCCGGTATTTCAGAAACGTACCAAACATATTGAGATTAATTGTATTTTTGTTCGTGAAAAAAATCAAAAGGGCACTCTTACGTGCCGCCGACCGATATGTACCAACCACCATTCATGTTGCACATATATAGACTAAAGCACTTGGCCCAGCTCAATTTGTGTCACTATTATAAGAATCCTCATGCATTGGCTTTGCGAGGTGGGAGGGGGGAGTTGACCGAGAAGTAGGAAGGGAAGAGTGTCCCTCTTTATGGTTATGACCTGTGCAAGCACGGATTTGAGCTTGATTTGGTTTGGATTTAACATTAAATAGTTTCCCATTTTATAGGCTGGCCAAGCTCGGCCTAATCACATACCTGGTCGCCCACTAGACTTTCGGATCCAAGAATGACACAAGAAAAAAACATGTCAAATAAAATAGAAATCGCATTGATAACAATTTTACAATGAAAAAAAGAGAGCGATAGACGAAAGCAATCCAACGTGACCAAAAAAATACCAAAAAAAAGTTGTAATCGTAGCTTCCAATTAGGACACGTTGCATATACCCAAATGTGAAATGTAAAACTAACACTCTGTCCTTTCTATATTTTGGTAATTGATGGCATATTATAGAGAAAAATAATCTAATATTATATTAATTTTTTAAGGACCATGCTACATTTACACCAAAATTTGTACCTCATTTGTACACCGCAGTTATGCACAAACATTTTGATGGTTTACACCGACACAAGTGTTGGTGCGTTAACAAAAATTTACACGGACACAAAGTATTGGTGCGTTAATAAAAATTAGTTTTACACCGACACAAAATGTCGGTGCAAACCTGCGGTGTACAAATGGGGTACACAAATTTGGGGTACAAGTAGCTTTATCCATTTTTTAAATGGCCAGGCTTGTTGGCCTCAACGGGATATTGTTAATTTCTATATCCACCCACATAAAAATACAGATCACTACCGGTTTGCTCTTATGGATAATTATTGTTACACATATCTGCCAATTACTTAGGGTGGACTAAATCGGCTGACTTTTGTTTGCACAGGTCTATTGCGACTAAGGTTAGACACGGTATCAGTTTGATTCCAATTACCTCACTGGCGGTTTTGGTACCCATTTTAGAGGAACTGGTACCGGTATCGTGTAGGGCAGTTTCGGTTCTCTAGGAGTTTCGCTTTCGGTCTCGGTTTTTATTCCAAACAAGTTCGAGATAAAATTTTTTAGACACTTTTAGTTAAAGAGTAATATAGTTGACTCCAAACTCTTTTCTGGATGGTAATATTGTGAATCAACTTTAAAATAATGAAAATAAGCACTAAAAGCATAAAAACAAAAAAAAATCAATATTGATTCGGACCGTTTCTGATTTTGATACCAAAAAATTGAGGACTTGAATGGGAACCTTTACTTGAGAGTTCTTGAACTGCCGGTTACGACGATTCTCATTTTGAATTCACTAGTTCCGATTCAAGATTGGAACAATAGTTTAAGAGAATTTACTTAAATAGTACTAAAATATAGTAACTTTTCTAATATAGTACCGTATATTTTTATTTCTCAATGTAGTACTATTGGTCATTGTTCATGTAAATGTTCACTGTCACTAGACATTATTCAAATTAAATGTTCACCATCACTGAACATGGTTTTCACCACTAGACATTATTTAAGTACTATTTAGAAATAAAAAATAGTAAGTACTCTATTGGTAAATGACATGTTTTACTACTATTTAGTGCAAATCACATAATAGACTATATATTCCAAAATGTTTCCTCACGTGCAATGGAGATTTATTTTTTGCTCCAATTATGCACATGAACAATATTTTTTTAAAATTAGGTGGCGAAGAAGTTCGAATTTGTGACCTCTTTTTCCATAAGGGTGTAATATTATGTTAAAGAATCAATTCAACCAAAACCTTATACTTGTGCTTGTAGGTCTATAAAAGTTTTTTACATTTTAACACGTTATCTCACGTGTAGGCATGACTTCTTCTAGCTTTGTACGTGAAACAATTTTTCTCAAAATTAAGTGACAGTGATTTTCGTACCCGTGAGCTATTGGTCAAATGACTCTCATACAATGTCAAAAAACTAAATGAATTAGAAACTCAACTTTGTGATTGCAAGTGCAAGGAATATTTTATACACTCCAATAGTCGCTTTACTTGTGAGAGTTCAATTCATCTTCCCTCTATTTATTGTCCTGCTTTCTCCATTGTAAGCAGTTGGCAAAAACAATAAAAAGAATAATCTATATTTTTTATGTTTAGATTTTTATATCATATAATCATATTTCTTTTGTCGGATAAAATTTTTTGAAGAGAAAAAATACACGTGAAATTTTGATATTATTTTCTAATTATAACTCATCTATTTTACACATCATATTCTGCTTTATTATAAAATAAAAGTTAAATTAGAAAATAATATCAAATTTACACATTTTTAAGGCGTGTCATTTTTCGCATTTGAAAAGTTTTATGAGACGGAGGAAATATAAAACTAGAAATATCAATAATTAAAATGTTATATCTAGAAAGAAAGGTAGGAAGGATTATTTAAGATCACACGATTCACACGGAATACAAATTAGATTACAAATTTCACATTACAATTCACGGGTAAAATTTTGTATTTTTTGAAATCTTTTTATTTAAAAATTGGTATAAGAATAAAAAATAAAACTTACATATCACTGATAAAAAATTACATAAAATATTTTATAAAACAAGATGTGACATAAATATTCTATTTAAACAAATAATAAAAAAACACAAATAAACAAACGTTATTGATTAATATGAAAAAAAATGTATTGTAATGTGTTTGATGGATGATCTAAGATAACTTAAAACATACGGAGTAATAACTTTCTCAAATATAAGACCATATGTTTTTATTTTTCAATGTAGAACCATTAATCATTATCTATTAGTCATTATTCAACTAAATGTCTAGCATCACTTGGACATTATTTTTCTCATTAGTCATTATTAAGTCCTGTTTAGAAAATAAAAAAGTTTAAGTCCAAATTAAAAAGTGACTTATGCTTTAGTTCTGCAAATTTCGCATGATCTAAACGTGGAAGAACGTCAATGATTATAAAGGACTGTTTTTTAAATGTATTCCATGTCTTATTACGGAGTATTATTAATGAGAAAGAATATAAGACAGCTCCATGGATGAATGAACGAATTGGGACCAAAAGAAAGAAGTTAATATAAGAGCCCTTTCTCTATCTTCTAGGACTTGTGATGGCTCAGACACGCCATTAGACTCATTCTCCCTCTCTCTCTTCTTCCCACAAAATCCACTCCAAACCTTTGGTTTCTGAATCACCAGAAAAAAACAACAAGAAACAGACCAAAAACCAAATCCCCTTTCCATCTCTGCGGGGCAAGGATCATCTCCCCATCCTAGCCCCTGCAAAACAAAAACACAGAAAATCTTCGAATCCAAAATGGTACATTGAACACCATTCCATTTCTTGTTGTAATATAAATCGGTTTCTGAACTACTTCCATTCTCAAGGCGAGAAAATAATGGAGAAGGGGACATTGGTGATGCAGAAATACCAAATCGGGCGGCTGTTAGGACAGGGGACCTTCGCCAAGGTGTACCACGCCAGGAACACGAAAACAGGGGAGAACGTGGCCGTGAAGATCATCGACAAAGAAAGGGTTCTCAAGGTGGGTTTGATCGAGCAGATTAAACGCGAGATCTCCGTCATGAGGCTCGTCAAACACCCCAATGTCGTCCAGCTCCACGAGGTCATGGCCAGCAAGACGAAAATCTACTTCGCCATCGAGTACGTCCGGGGCGGCGAACTCTTCGGCAAGATCGCTAAGGGAAGGCTCAAGGAGGACGCCGCCCGCAGATACTTCCAGCAGCTGGTGGCCGCCGTGGACTTCTGCCACAGCCGCGGCGTCTACCACCGCGACTTGAAGCCCGAGAATCTCCTCCTCGACGAAGCCGGGAACCTCAAGGTTTCCGACTTCGGTCTGAGCGCCCTGGCCGAGTCCCGCCGCCAGGACGGGCTCCTCCACACGACCTGCGGGACCCCCGCGTACGTCGCCCCGGAGGTGATCACCAAGAGGGGATACGACGGCGAGAAGGCCGACATATGGTCTTGCGGGGTCATCCTCTTCGTCCTCCTCGCCGGGTATCTCCCCTTCCGGGATTCCAATCTCATGGAAATGTACAAGAAGATCAGCCGCGGAGATTTCAAATGCCCCCGGTGGTTTCCGCCCGAGGTGAAGAAGCTCCTCTCCAGGATTCTTGAACCAAACCCTGTTTCAAGAATCCCTCTGTCCAAACTCATGCAAAACTCTTGGTTCCAAAAGGGGTTCGTCCAATTCCGGTCGTCGTCCCCCGATCAAGAACTCTCTCCCCGGAGTGTCCTGGAAATGGAACTCCTCGTAGACAACGACCAGACCGGCGCCGCCGCAACCGCCGGAACCTCGGACGCGTCGATGAAGCCGACGTGCCTCAACGCGTTTGATATCATTTCGCTGTCCCCCAGCTTCGACCTGTCGGGGCTATTCGACGTGGACACGAGCCGGAAACCGGAGTCGCGGTTCACGACGCAGCAGACGGCCTCGACGATCGTGTCTAAGCTGGAGGAGATTGCGATGACGGAGAGTTTCAGGGTGGAGAAGAAAGACGGGACGGTGAAGCTGCAGGGGAGCAAGCAGGGGAGGAAAGGGCGGCTGGCCATCGACGCCGAGATCTTCGAGGTCACGCCGTCGTTTCACGTGGTGGAAGTGAAGAAAAGCTCCGGCGACACGATGGAGTACAGGAAGTTCTGTGAGCACGAGTTGAAGCCTTCTTTGAAGGACATCATTTGGAAATGGGAAGGCTCTGAGCAGCAGCAGAAGTGATGAATTTTTATTTAACTTGCATTTATATATGATGGTAATAATAATAATTAATGATGATGATCAGGAAATGCATTTTGAAACTATTTTCTAAAATTTGTGAGCCACACATTTACAAATTGAAGAGAAGAAGAACAAATGCAAGCACTTAGTCAAGATATGTTCATCCCAAAGTGGCAAGTTTTATAAAGTTTATTTTAGGTTTGGTTTTCAAGCTCATTTACTAAGCTCATTTTGAGAGTGCTAATATGCATTGTAATTTTTATGCTGTTGATCATTTCATTTCACCAAAGTGAACAAATAGTATAGGACAGAGACAATATCATATACTCCATCCGTCCCAAAAAGTCTTTCCTGTTTCATTTTTACGCATCCCATAAAACACTTATATCCCGCCTTGAATGCCAAAAAAACTTTCAAAATAACTTCTACCCACAATAAAGAAGAAATGTTGTAAATCTTAGGCATTTTAAATGTCGGTAAAAGTGTTTTATGGTATGCACAAAAAATGAAACATGAAAGACTTTTTGGGATGGAGGGAATACTAGAACTTTGGCTAATAAAGGAAGAACAACTATTCTTTGATGATGTAAATTCATTTTTTATTTTAGAGTCATCCACTATTTTATGTACTGAGTTTATTTAGATTGAATGGAATTTATATGTTGCTAATGAGTCTGGAGGTGCGGAATGCACGTTCATTGGTCGAGCTAGTGATATTATAAATTCTATAGCAGGGTTTGCGTGTGATAGCCCCTGAGAGTGTCCAAAGGTCAAAGCCTCTTGCTCCAGAATTAGATATTCATACACGAATCGAAATAGGAATATTTTGAATATTTAAAATTATAAATTCGAATGTTAGAAATAAAGATCAGCGTCCTTTACAAAAGAACGCATACATTCAAATGTTTAACCTAAACATTAAAATGTTTCCTAAAGATGTGATGATTCGCATGTTATTTATCTCTACATACATTCAAATGGTTTGTTCATACATTCGAATGTTTCGTAATTGGTTGTGTTGTTTTATAAATAGACACGTCCGATCAATTCCTGGTCTGTATATATATAAATAGTCTCAGGGTACATTTGAGATACACAAGATTTCCATACCCCTTCTAGATACTGTAATACTATTTTAGACTTTTGATATATGTCAAAACAATATTAATCTCAAAGTGTGTAGTACCTTATTCGTTAAGTATATCAACTCTTCCTCACATTAGTCGTATACCATGAGCTTTACTATGTCGTGTCTCACCTCCGTGTATTTCCTAACAAAGCATGGGTAGTATGTAGGACATGTTTAGTGTATGGTGCATGCATGCATCCTCTTTACTAATTGGAATTTAAGTCACATTTATCTCTCAATGGATCTCAAAGAAGGTTAGGTTGTATAAGGTCTAATATTAGTGAAAGTGGAAATAAATGGGTCTGAGTAGATTTGGACATTGATTATTCACACGCTGAAATTGATGTTGCAGAGGGTGTTACAATACCTAGTGACAGAATAGTGTAAGAGGAATTTACTTAAATAGCACCAAAACATAATGACTTTACCAAAATAGCACCATATGTGTTTCTCTTCCCAATGTAGCATTTTTAGTCATTATTCAAGTAAATATTCGTCATCACTGGACATTATGGACATTATTTAGTGTTATTTAGGGAATAAAACAATTTAAGTGCTATTTAGGGAAATGCCTTAAGTTTTAGTGCTATTTAGTGCAAATATTTCATAGTGTAAATACAAAAATCATAAAGAACAACATCATAATTTTTTTAACAGTTCGGAGAAATTTTCCTGCTCTATGGGGCCAACCACTAAATCATTGGAGGCAAATTTAACACGTACTTCGTATATGGCAACATGATGTGACGCATTTTTCCAAATTCTAATGATATAGTCTCTAATCTAGGATATCTAACTCGTAACCTGTACAGATCCATTTCAGCTATCACATCTCCACCGAGATCACAAGGACAACCGTGTTGGCAACTCTCTCCTTCAACTCAAGTTCATCTTCTAGATGTTACAATTTTGACGCACTAGAATAGTGTATATTCTGAATATTTTCCCTTTGCTCACTATTGCTGCAAGGAATCCCTAACCTCTGTTGCGTAAATATAGGCTTCTTCAAACCTTGATCCTAGCTAGTAGGGATAGGTAATTAGAAGTTGTCTTGAATAGAACTTCTTTAATGTTAATCCACAAGTTAGATAGAGCTCACTCAATACCAGCTGGTTATTTAATAAATAACTCGTAGTATGAATTTGTATTCCCAATAGGTCTCTTACGTGTAAAATTGCAGATCGAAGACTCTAATTTCTGCACACGCCTTGCTGATCCCGTCAGAATATGTTGTAGCATCTTCTGTGTACTCTTGAAAAAAATATCAGCTCTAGAGTCTAAATAACATAACCTCTCTTAATAAATAGAGGTTTTTACATAATAAAACTTTTTACAAACATGAATTTCTATTTTTCCAAAAGATTAACAACTACTTGGAACTAACAAAAATAAGGAAGAGTTTTTCTGTGCTAGTGCTTATTGACTTGTTGATGATAAAGAATTTTTAACTTATAAGTTACTTTTTTTTTTGAAAAAGTTGCTTATAAGTTAAATATTCTTTCTTGGAAATAAAACGATTTCAATGATAGATAATTAGTTTGGGAATATTCATGAACGGTGAGTGATAAATTTGTAAATAATTTGTTCAATACGAAAAAAATGAAAAAATAGTTAAAAAATAAGTATGTAAGATCTACATATTGTTTTGAAATATAAGCAGTTTATAAGTTAGCTTCCAGTCAAAGAAAAACTTTGATTAATAAATTAAAAATAGTTTATATAGAATTTTGACAGGATGCATAAATTAAACTTCAATGACTATGTTTGGCTGACTCGATAGAAATGACGAGGAAAGAAGAATGAATGAAGGGTAGAAGAGACGACACAGAAATTGCTAATTAACAAAGAGTTGTCTTTTACCTCCTTCCACCTAAGGGAATGTTTAATAGAGAAAAGGAAAGGACTAGATAAAGACAGGTTGGAAATATGGAGAGAGGAATAAAAATCATATAGAGAAAAATTATGATTGAGCCACATAAGTTTGGTCCCTTTTTTGTTTGTTTTAATCCTTCTCTCTCTTTAAAAAAAAATGGTTAGTTCATTCTTTTTTTAATTTCTTATGTTCTTTCTCTCTAAAATCGCTGGCTCATCCTAACAAATAGGGAGTAATATTAATAATAATAACAATAACAATAATAATGATAATGATGATGATGATGATAATAATAACAATTATTATTATATAACAATAAATCTTACACTAATGATAGGGAGAGGAAAGAGGTTACCACTCTAAAATTTATGGGATTGAATGAAAACAATAATTACGAGATATTATGAAATAAATATGCTAATGGAGTAATAAAAATAGATATTTCATATGTCCCAATTTAAATAACTTGTTGTTTACGAGACTTGAATGGAGTTATTTTCAATTTAATTTATTTAAAAATTGGTATTGAATTAAAAAATAAAATTTATATATTAAAAGTTCTATAAAATAAGATGCAACAAGTAGGGTTGTTCACATTTAGGTCCGGACTGAAAAAACCGACCGAACCGGACCGATAGGTCCAGACCGAACCCGGACCGAATGGATTTCGGGTCGGTCTTCGGTCCAGAAAATTTTGGCATTCGGGTTTCGGTCCGGTCCGGTCCAAACCCGAAATGATTTAGGTCCGGACCGACTGGACCGGTTGGACCTAATGACCTACTGGACCTAAAAGACCTAAATACTAAAACTCTACTTTTTAAATTTCGTATTACACTTTGATGCTCTATTTTAATAAATATTTTAATTTATTTAATTTAAAGTGTTTTTTATTAAGTAATTTTAAAAAAAATCTTTAAAAAAAACATTTCATATTTGTTTTTATGGTTCTACATTGAAGTAGTTCATATTGTTTATCCATTTTAAAGCTGTCTATTTTTTTATTCATTTTCTATTTGAATGGTACAAAGTAAAAAGTCTAAAATATATTTAATTGATCAAAATAATTAAAAAAATATAATTTTTTCGGTCCAATCGGTCCGGACCGGTTCGGTCCGGTCCGGTCCAAACCCGAATGGATTTAGGTCCGGTCTTCGGTCCAAGAATTTACTCATTTCGGTCTTCGGTCCGGTCCAGTTCGGTCCGGTCTTGGACCGATGAACAGCCCTAGCAACAAGACTATATTATTTTTTCAAATGGATAGTAAAATTCGATGGAGAATGTGACTAAATTTGATCCAGTAAATAATAAACATGCAACTTAAATTGTGATGGAAGAATTATTATAAATCATGTTTGGGAAATTTACTTTTATAGTAATAAATCATATATGTTTCCCAACATAGTACTTAATATTTTAAATTCCCTAAGTAATACCCTTAATTTAATTATTAATTATTTAATATCAGTCTAAAGATACAAAAATAGCTCTCAACCATTACTATAGTTTGCATTTTAAAACAAACATTTCCCTCTTCTGCCCACACCACCACAAGTATCCTTCAAATTGGGAGTTAGGTACTATAATTAAATACTCCGTAGTATTTAGGAAATAAAAAGTTATAGGTACTATATTGCTAAAAGACTTGTTTTAGCACATAGTATTATTTAATACAAATTTAACTTCAAGCTAATGCATTTTAAAAAGTTTTAGGTACTATATTACCAAAAGACTTTGTTTTAGTACTGTTTAGTGTAAATTTCACTTCAAGCTAATACACCCTCGCAGGATGATAGGTTGACAAAAGGGAAATACCAAATCAAGTTTAGTAATGCCAATATCAATCTTGATACCAAGCATGAGGTGCTTTGTTACGCATGATGAGACCGGTACGTCGGGCAGTTCCGAAGTAATGGGTAGCACAGACCGTGGGAATGAAGAGACGTCTAGGGATGATGGGACAGTCCGGGAAGCAGAGGTTCGAAGGAGTTCGAGGGAACGTCGGCCACCCACATGGCAACGAGACTACACTGCCTGATATAGCTTTATTATTTCAGTTTATTCCTTATTATTTATTTATTGTAATTTGATTTTATTAAGTGGGCAAAAATAAGCCCCTTCGAAGTTTCTTTGCGGTTTTTTCCCTCGTCGCCTTTTCTTGAGCCGCCAGGTTAGATAACGTAGAATATTAGGGTTGAGAATAGGGTTTCTCTTATTTAATCTCATGTTCGGCCGTATCATCAGAGAAGCAATCAAAAACTCTATTTCTTTTTCTTCTGCTTCTTTCTTACCCGATACATAACCGTATCATGCTTACTTCAATCTTTTATTAAGTCGTCTCCAATCATCTATGCCAAATTTAAACTCAAAACACGGTACATATCAAATCAAACGGTACTTTATTTGTAACTCATTACACCAAACTCAAACTCGAAAGAATTTATGGGTCATATTTACTATGTGTTTGGATTTGAGGATATAAAGCAGTATTGGAGATGCTCTTATGTGGACAAATTATTGATTCAAGCACATGAAAATTATTTAAAGTTAGCATCAATCAATCAATCTTATAAAGACCCATTTTGGGTAACTGATTCTCATCCAAAAGGAGTGTTCCATTCCATTCCACCCACCCAATGCCTTCCTGTCTTCCCTCCCCCAATTAATGCTATTGGTGTGAACATATCTAACATCTACTGAAACAGATATTAATACTATCATTTTCTTCATCAATGGCCATTCAGTGGGGTCCACCTTGGTCTCAAAAATCAATCTCTCTCTCTCTCAGGTTGAGCCTCCTGACTAGGTGTATGATCCTTGGGAGGTTTCTGCTTCACTTCTCCCTTGAAGAACACATTCATCAGCCAGATACACACAGCTTCCTGTAAAAAATGTACTTATTTGAGCCTACCAGTTGGCTACTAAAACATAGAAGCCAAACGATTAAATGCAAAACCATCTTTACTAAAGAGAGTGTTTCGATACTAGTCGTTTTAGCATGTTTGGCATGTCAACTTCTGCTTTTCCCCCGCACCATTTCCCACATAGAGCACCGTTTCGGTGAATGTGATTTTGCTTTTCAACTTTTGTGCAAATCACTAATTGCTTGAGCATTATACAAAGGCTAAGCAGAAATTCATGCACACACAAAAAAAAGGCATAGAGAGAGGGGGGCGTACTACTCAGAATCTGAAGGCAAATGTGGAGAATCAGAAGAAGCATCTTCAGACATCAAGCGCTGAAGGCCGGGTTTGAGTTCCCGGTTGTAAAATTCTTCATACTCCGCCCTATCGCCTCCTTTCTTTCTCACTTCGACAACTCTCAAAGACGGCGTCAGCTCAAAGATCTCAGCAGCTATTGTCAATGGCCCCTTTGCGCCCTCCTTAGACCCTTCCAAACTCACCCTGAAGTCTTTCTTCCTCACTTTGAAACTCACCACCTTTGCAATCTCTTCCAGTTTGTTCACAATCATATACACAGGTGCCCCTAAAATGAACCTCCCCCCATCGGATCCCTCCTCGAAGAGCCCAGACAAATCAAAGCCCCTCGAAAACGAAATAATGTCAAATGCATTCAAGCTAGTGGGCTTGGGCAAGCTGTTCAGCCTCTTCCTACTCTCTATCTCCGACTCCGATTCGGATAAATCGGACAAAGAATCTATCAAATCGTTCGTCTCTGCCTCATCAACCACATTGCACAATTTGTCATCCTCAATGTAAAACTGAACATGCTTGAACCCTTTCTTGAACCACTTGTTGCTCATTATATCCGGGATGGTCATTCTCATTGACGGATTCGTGTCGAGCAATCTGGTCAAGAATCGGACCAGTTCGTGAGAGAACCATCTGGGACACCTAAAATCACCCTTGTAAATCTTCTTGTACATTGCCATCACATTTTGATCATGAAATGGTAAATAACCGGCCATCAGCACAAACAAAATTACCCCACAAGACCATATGTCCACCTTAGCGGCATCGTACCCCTTCCGAGCCAATAGCTCAGGAGCAACATAGGCGGGCGTGCCGCAGAACGTGTGGCACAGCCCGTCCTGCTTGATCTGCTCAGAAATGGTGCTCAACCCGAAATCAGAAACCTTGACATTCCCGTCCTCATCGATCAGAATGTTTTCAGGCTTCAAATCCCGGTGGTAGACGCCGCGGGCGTGGCAAAACGCGACGGCAGAGATGAGCTGCTGAAAATACTTCCGGGCAGCGTCTTCCTTGAGCCGCCCTTTGGCGACCTTGTTGAAGAGCTCGCCGCCTCGGACGAATTCCATGACAAAGAAAATCTTGGATTTGGTGGCCATAACCTCGTAGAGCTGGACAATGTTGGGGTGGCGGACCCGCCGTAGAATCGAGATCTCCCGCTTGATGTGGGAAATGAGGCCGACCTTCAGAACCTTCTCCTTGTCGATCACTTTAATGGCGACGCTCTCGTCGGTCTTGGCGTTCCGGGCTTGGTACACCTTGGCGAAACTCCCGTGGCCCAGGAGTTTCCCGATTTCGTATCGGCCCAACAGAAGCCCACCCAGCAGATCTTTCTTGCTGAGGCTCTTCGCCATCACGGGTCTGGCCGCGGCGGTGTCGGCCATGGCCGGTGGGTGTCGCGGCGGATTCAAGATTCGATTTTTTTTGTGCTTTTGTTAGAAAAACGAGAGCGGCATTTCCGGGCCCCTCTTGATTGGAAAATTCAGATGATTTTCGGGGAAATTGGGTGGGAGGGTTCGGCCATTGGAAGCCGGAATGTGAGGTGCGCAAACCGCCAGCGTAGACACAGACCCATACGGAATGACGGAGTTTATATGAGTCAGAGTTTTGAGATGGCCATCCCTTTGGGGTTGGCCCATTGGTGGCGTTGGGTTCGTATAAATGAACTTCTTTCCAAAATATTTGCCACATTTGTATTTCCAAGACAAAATATCAAGTTTTTTCAATTTATTTTATTTACATATTGATATAGAAATAAAAAAAATTTACATATCAAAAAAATACATGAAAAGTTCTTCGAAATAAGAGGTGTCAAGAATATTTTATTTTATCAAATAACCAAAGAAAACATAGAAATAAACAAAAGTTCCCGCAACTGCTGAAAAAGCAAACATTGCAAATAATTTGGGACGAAGGGAGTATAATGCATACTGATTTGTTGGGTTAAAACAGAAAATAGAGATGAAGAAATTTGCAGAAAAGGGATAAGATTAGGCCCAAAATATCTTCAATGCTTACAGTTTTTATCATTTTTAATTAAAAAATGATTATAATTTAATAATATTTTTATTTATTGATAAAAATAGATAAATTATAATAAAATATAAAAAAATTATAACAACAAAAAAATATACTCCCTCCGCCCACAAATAAACTTTACGGTCACTATTCAAATGGTCAAACTTTATTCACTTTGTTGGCCTATTTTCGTCACCCACTTGATAAAAGAATATAGTCATGTCACCTCTGTTTTGTAGATCTTTTGATATAGTTTTTTAATATTTCTTCCGTCCCACTGTCTTTGTCCACTTACCTTTTGGCACACCATCCAATACACTTCTTTAATCCATTTTATCTTGTAATTTGTATATTAAAAAATTATAGAAATTATATATTAATAATCTATATGTTAAGACAAATCAAACAAGATCACACATGACTATATTTAGGCTTATACATTGAGAGAATTTGATGAGTCAAGGTGCTTAGATGAACAGTTTCAAAAGTCAAAAGTGGACAAAGACAGTGAGACGGAGGTAGTATGTAATTTTTATTTTTCAATTCTACACCATTTTTCATATAAAATGATTTGAAAATAACTTCAGTCAAACAGCGTAATGCGCAATGTAAAGTTTGTTTGTGGACGGAGTGAGTAATAAATACATAAGAATAATTTTCAATAGAAATCATCCTGAATAGGAATAAAACATAGAAAAAAGTACCAAAATAGGACTTTCATGTGTTTTTTCCCGGAATAGGACTTTGGACTGTGGTAATGTGACTTTGCATTGTAGTAATATGGCAGTGTACATGTGCAAATTACTATACTTTTTTGGTAATGTATATGACCATGTTTGGTAATGTAGTCCTATTTCGGGAATAAAAACTTGAAAGTCATATTTTGGTATATTTTCAATGTTTTGGTCATACTTTGGTCTTTCTCCCAATTTTCAAGATTGTACTCAATAACAACGTGTTTTCTTAAATTAGTTCCCAAAATTAACTAATTCTCAAGATAGTACTCGTTAATTGAAAATAATGCTCAGTTCAGTTCCCCGACTAATGGCTGTTAAAACAGCGTTAAAAAATAAAACGACGCTAAACTTTTATATTGCACCCGTCCCCAATTTGATTACAATTTTTTTATCTTTCCTCTCGATGGCTTTTGTTTGTTTACACGATTTCATTAAGTATTTGATAAAATAAAATATTTTTGTCACCTCTTGTTTTGTAGAATTTTTTACTTAATTTTTTAATATGTAATTTTTATTTCTTATCGATATACCGATTTGTAAATAAAATGATTTCAAAAAGTGAGATATTTATACTCGTAAATTCCAATTTGTAATCAAATTGGGGACGGAGGAAGTACTACTTTCCAAACATGGTGCTTTCTAACTCGGTGTTTTTCTCAAATTATTCCATTTTTGAAATAAAAATACATTATTTATAAGAAAAATTAAAGTATGACTTTCCAAAAATACCCTTGATGTGATGGGCAAAAGTAAGATGTAATGGGTAGATTATTAGAAAAAAAGTATGATGTGATAGGTAGGGTATGAAAAAGTAAGGGGTAAAAGTGGTTTTTTTAACAGAAATGTAACGAACTTTACGGGACGCAGTTTTTTCTAAACGTAACACACTTTTTGGGACGGAGGAAGTACTTAAAACCATGAATATAATTTTATAAATTAAAAATTAAATGTTTTTTATTATTTATAATTATTTAAAATAATAGCATGTAAATAAAATGTTTAATAATCGTTAAAGAAATGACTCTAAATAAGAGTACAACATAAAGAAAGTACCAAAATATGAGCTCTTTCTCTATTTATGGTGGTTTCTTCAACGTTTATTAAATATTTTTTTAACATGATATTCTTTTAAATAATTGTAAATATCTAAAACTTTACTTTCAAATTTATAAAATTATATTTATACTTTTTAGTATTTTATTCTAATCCTATAAAATTTGAGATATTTTTCCATAATTAATGTATTTTTATTTCGAAAATGGACCAATTTGAGAAAATACCTAGTAAGAAAGTACTCCGTACTATTTTGAGAAAGTTGTATAAGGTTTAACGTCATTTTAATGGCCGTTAGTCGGGGAGACTGAACTGAGCATTATTCTCAATTATCGAGTGTCATTTTGAGAATTAGTTAGTTTTGATGACTAATTTAGGAAAACATATAGTTATTGAGTACCATTCTAGAAATTTACTCAATACGTAATAACACAATTAAATATGAAAAAGAGTGAACAAATTAGAGTTAGAGCTATGTTGAATTTAAATTTTAAAACCTTAGAAAAATTGAAATTGGAAAAAGAAATAGAAAAGCAAAAAAACAAATTAAATTTGTCTAGCGGTGCAGCGGCCGTCTGCAATGGACAACGCCGCTACCTCTTCACTTACACTCCGCTCCCCGCTCAGTCCCAGTGTCTGGTCCGCGCCGAGGCGCCCGACGCATCCTATAGCCCGACAGTCGATTCTGCCACCCACCCTGCACCTCTTAGTGGCAAGATACGATGGCCCTGTTTGGCATCAGCGTCAGAGATTAGCGTTAGCGTTTTGAAAAAGCTATCCGACGGTAGCCTTTAGCGTTAGCGTTTTCAGAATTAATCTGCACCGTTAAAATTTTATCCAAAACGCCAACGCTAATCGAAAACGCTGTTACCAAACAAAAGCATCATT